GAAGTAGAAGTGCCAACCTCATCTTCGCCTTCACCCAGTGTGGCCAAGGCTCGCTGTTTTAGACTGGACGACCTGTGTTCTTTGGACCCAGCATCAGGGAACACTGAAGGGACACTGGCGGGCTGCCCAGTGAGAAGGTCTGGCCCTGCTGAATTCTGGAACGGTCCTTTTGTGGGGGACAGAGGACTCAGACTTTTGTTTCCAGCTTGATCAAACGCCAATGGAGCTGGTATCTAGGCAGATCCAGGCAACATCAAAGGACTGGTAGAGGTGAGATGAGATGATCAATTGATTACCGAGCTGGGAGATGGCCTGATCTCAGATGGCCTCGTAGTGCTTCTTTGGATTCCTGATCGAAGAGATGGTCATAACCTCACACTGAAATCTGGCACAGAGAAGAAAAAGACCTTGATTTGGTTCCAAAGAATAAGCTGCTCCAGCTGCGGAGAGAAGCTCTAGAAGGGGAAGTCCAGCCCGTGGCCCCTTAGGAGACCTGGTGCCTATTTGGGAGTGAGCCATCCTTACCAGCTGGAAGTGGATGGTGAAAGATTCAAGCAAAGCATGTGTGTGAATACAGATGTTCCTGCTACCAGGCCACAGCAGATTCACTCACGATTAAATAAGAAGTTGATTGCTCCAGGTAGATGCTAACTGACCCGAAGCTGTCCTTTCCCATCTGTAGGCTTTCTGATTTCCGTTTCCAATGTGTCCTAGAAGGTGGGAGCCCAGTTGTCACCTCGATTAGCATCTTAATTTTTTTATTTTCCCCAAGTCTAGGCAGTCTGGTAAGGTTATACCAAGCATTCTAGTAGCCCATTGAGGGTGTACCCATCTTGTTTCACAAGGATGTGTGGCTGCTTATGGGGAGGGGGGATGCATACAATGAAAAGAGATAAAATGCATTGTTTTGAGAAAATACCAGAAGGAATGAGAAGAATACGACTAGAGCAAGGTGAACACAGAAGTGCAGATCTCATGCCCCAGGAGGGGGGTGACACCCCAGGGGACAAAGCAAAGACAGAATAGTATCGATTACCTGATTCGTGGTGTTCTGAAGAATTGTTAAGGTTCCCAAAGGAAGCATGACTTTTCCTGGTGCTGGAAGCTGAAAGGTACTTCTCCCATGAGTCCTCATAAAAAGTGCATGGGCTCAGTTAGAATAAGGTTCCAGGATGAGTAACCCCAAACCAAAAGTAACAGTGGCTTTAAAAGATAGAGTGTCACGTCTCTCTCAAGCCAGTCTAAGCAGTCTGGGACCCGATGGACGCTGGGAACTCAGAGCTTCTATGTGGTTCCTCCATCCCATGGTCCCAGATGGCTACTTAGACTCCAGCCAAAACGCCCACCTTCCAACCAGCAGGAAAGAAGGAATGATACAGGACACACACTTGAAAAATAAACCTAGAAAGTTGCAGAAGACACTTCCAATTATATCTCACTGGCCGTAACTTACTCCCACGGCCACCCCCACCTTCAATGAAGGTCAAAATCTAGTCTTTGCTCCAAGCCCCAACTAAAGGTAAGTTTTCTATCAATAAAGCAGAA